TCTCCTCTCACACCAAAGGTAAGAGCTGGAACAACCATATGATAAAACCAAAATACAACAGAAAAGGCCAAATAGGTAAGACAGAAGAAAGCAGCTAAGCAGACACATCCAGCACAGCTGAGTTATCCATTTTTGCATTCCTCTGCCCTATCTTGAAACAGGCCAATGACAACTCTGTGCCCCAGAGGATGCTGTGCTCAGACACACCCCTGCACACTAATAACTCAGGAGCACTCATCACTCCACAGTACAAACTTCTTGACTCAAGACTTGTCCCATCTGGGGTTTCCTTTAAGCCATTCTTCACATTACTGCAATTCAGCAAGTAGCCCCAAGTCATGGGTCCTGAACATGTGGGGTGTGTGCCCACGATGCCAAACACAGAGACAGCTTCAACAAATGCAAAGAGAAACTCTGAAATGCATTAAAGATCAGCACAGCATTCTTCTGAATGAGTCTCACAATCTGGCAGGGCTCCTTCCAACATCAATATCAATTTCCTCCATCAACTGGAGACAGAATAATACCAGCTTCCTCTGTTTAATACAGCCCTTAATTGTCCCAGATCAAATACTGGCTCCCAGAGGCTATTCATTCTGCTCTATAGGTAACTGTGTCCTAGACAAGATGCAAGAACTTTTATCAGCAAATGTTAAATGCAGCAGGAAGGCCAGAAGGTGTGTCTCAGGCTGCTAAAAACATTAACCAAGAACATCACTGCACTGGCTGTAACACAAAGCACTCACAAAGCACTGCTGGGAGCAGCACGGGCACTCCAGTGACCAGAAAACACTTGCAAGCTCCTGCTTATCTGAGAGGCAGCAAATCCATACAACCACTGTCAGATACGGGGTGTTTTCCCTTTTTGTATCAGCTCCATGATGCCTCTGATCCCCCTCCTAATGACGAAGTCCTCACTGATTTCAAGAGAACTCAGCAAGACTGAGCAGAAAAAGAACTAAAAAAGGAAATGCCAAGTGAGTCATTAGTGGGTGGAGAAAAGAACCGTATAGTAAGTAGTCTTTACTCCTTTAAAATAAACAGTGCCAAAAATTGAAGGAATTCTTTGACACTAGTGAAGATGGAGCAGTAACAAGCCCTGCACAGTCTGTAGGAATGATGAATTCCTCTACTTAGTTATTCCAGATGCCAATAAGCACACAGGTAAAATTAATCTGCTTGTTTGGAAACCTCTAGATGGAAGTTCCAATACTAAATACAAGATCAGACTCAGAGAGAAGCAAACCAGCACCAAACCAGAACATTTTTCCCAATTTCAAACTGCTAAGAAAATTCCTTTATTTTTTCCATCTTCTGGCTGCTACTGCCAGCATTATGACCCGTGAGTCAAGCAGGTGCTCAGATGCTGAAAATGGGAGGAGAGTTTTTTTCCCCATCATTAGGTTTCACCTGACCAGCAACCTGTTCCAGTGAAAGGTGTCTCTACCCACAGCAGGGGTAGGAGCTGGATGATCTCTGAGGTCCCTTCCAACCCAAACTGTTCTATGACTCTAAGATTAACCAGAGCAGGCGTGGTGCCATGATCTTTCTAACCCTGCTACAGCTCAAATATGTTTCCTTTGGAACTTACTTTGGTGTGTACTTTCACACACTCATCTCTTTGGTTGACTTTGCTCTGGGTTACCAAAACAGCCCCTTTTTCCTAGGCCTGGTTACTACAGCAACAGAATCTTTTTGAGCTTGGTAGCAACACATTGCAAGCAGCAAAAAAAAAAAAAAAAAAAAATCTGCCATTAGTGCAAGAAACATGAAGCTGCAAGTCAGCAGCCCATGAAGAGAAATATTCCTGTAGTATCTCACCCCTGCCTCTCTAATTAAGGAACTCTAAGAATCCCCACCTCCTTGGCAGAGCACAAGCCTGAGCAACCCCTGACTTCAAAGGATGCACAACAGAGGTGCACTGCCCACAACCTCCTGTGTGCCTGTCACTGCAGAGAAACCACAGGAGAAATCTGATGGGCTTCATAGCCACAAGAATATTACACTCCACAGATGCTATTAGTTCCACTAATGATTAAAGCCAAAGCATCACTTTAAACTTCATATGGTATCACATCTGCATTCTTCTGCGTATACGTGAGTATTAACACACAAAAAAGAAGGTTTGGGGGGGGGGTTCTTGTGGTTTGGACTTTTTTTTTTTAATAACTAGAGAAGCTGTCCTGTATTGTAATTTCACTGCAAAGTGACTGTATTAGATATTATATTATTACTCCACTTAACTTTCATACAACTCAGAAGGAGGGAAAAAAAACCCAAAACCCTCTCAGTGCACACAGTTATTTCTATTTAATTCATTGCCTTGGGACATGCCAATTTTTATTGCAGAGGTAAACAATGACTAGTGCTTAGCTGGCAGGTTGAGAGACTGCTTCTAACCTTCAGCTACAGTCCAGCCCAATGCAGCACACACAGACTCAACATAAGCAGTACACTAAGGACAGCACAAACTGGTCAATCTGATAATTTCTCAGCAGCAGCCAGCCATTCTACAAAGTTCAGCCAGACTATTATCACTGTTATGAATTAGTTCCTATCCTGAGAGAACGATCTATGCCAGATTTGCCCCTAATTTCAACTAAGGGAACTTACCCAAAAACATTTCATCTGGTCACACACAGCCCCCACTGAGTGAGTGTGCTATTATGAGAAAGCAAACGGATATAAATATAGCACAGTGACAGTATCCACTCTGCAGTTATTTCCTCTGCGAAACAGAGCAGAATGAAGAGGGTAAGCTGCTCAGCCAGCTTTCTTCTAAGGCCACTGAAAACTGCATTGATGACATCAACAAAAATAATCAGTTAAAGACAAATCTGAGCAAATAATTCTCAAACAACACTTAAGCCAAGCAATCTGACCCCCTCTCAAGTATCCACCAATGTAAGATGACACTTCCACTTGTTTCTTCTTCATTTATATTCATTCATGGAATAGATTTTTTTTTCCTGGTAGCTTTTATTTTTACTAGCAAAATTGATTGCAAGTTGATAGATGAATTAATCATCCAATACCGAAACTCTACTTGTGATGGATAGGCTAGGACAGGGCAGAAATTAAACTTCATTGCTGGTTGAGTGTGCATCCACAGGCACTCCTCTGTAACCCGCAATTCAGATGTAGAAATCCAGGTTATGATTTCCATAGCTAAAGCCAGAAAGCAAACAACCCCAAAATACTTGGGGTTTTGTGGTGAGTTTTTTTTTTTTTGGTGTGGCTTTTTTTCTTTGTTTGTTTTTAAACTCCACATGTAGTAACAAATATGGTTAGACAACATCCTTATCTCTGCAGAAAAAATAAAAAAGCAGCACATAGTAAGCAGAAATAATTTTCTGGAAGCATTTTCCCAGCTACAGTTGAACTGCCAACTTTAAACAGGTTATTTTAGCATACAAGATGAATGTAGCTCAGGAAGAAGAAGAATCACTCTTCCTAATCCTCCTCTCATGCACCCTCCTCCAGCCTGTTCCCAAGATATGAAGCATTGCTTAAAAAATGCCCACGGAACAGACTGAAAGAAGTTGCTGCTCCTCTATATAGTTATTTATAATAGATAATCTTAGAATCACTCTTAATTTCAGCTCATCACTTATGGTGTTGGCACAGTTACTCCAGTGAATTCAGTCTCATTATTCACCTTTGGGTTGTACATTATCTTGTATTTTATACATCATCCTTCTTTGTCCGGTGGATCCCACACAAACACTTACAGAACCAAGTGAAGTTGAATAATGACCCAAGGACAAAGCTAAATGCTGAAATACTATGATTTTATGGCCAGCTACAGAAAAGCAGGGACATGTTTTGAATACACAGACGAGGCTCTAAGTGAAGCAGCAATACATCCATGAATGCCGCGCTACGCAGTGACCTTCCACCAGACTTCTGCACTACCCAAGACATTAAAAAGCACTCTGAAAGTCAGCAGGACTCCTCAGCTCTGCTGTCAATGGCCACACTCCGCTTGGAAACCTGATAAAAATGTAGTTGGGAAAAAATCCCAAAGGGGAACAGGATCACCCGTTCAGCTGAAAGTCACACCAAGGTGGGGATGATGGGACAAGTGTACACTTTTGGTTACCAGGATTATACTAACAATGGCAGCACACACTCCACTGATTTATTCCACTGGAGCAGCTCACCTAGTGACAAATCCCGCAGAAAGAGGAATGTGCCAAGCTGGTACATATTGTCAAAGAAAACTTTGCCAACAACATCCTCTTTAAACCTGCTGGGAGGGGAAACTACTGCTGAAACCCACAAGCACTTTACCCCAATAACTGAGATGTTTCACTGGGGAATCAAAGGCAAATTTCACAGCGTAACCATACGAAAGAATTTTGCAACATGATCACCAGAACCATGAGTTCTACTTCAGGCTCACTGTATCTCAAAATAGACCTCGCCAGCTTCCACGTCCCATTCCGTTACAGGGATCACATTATCAAGGGTCCTGCCACAGCATCCTGGGTCACAGCACCTACTCTGTAACTGGCACTTCCTTGCTAAAATGTGACAGTGGTAGTGACAACACGTGTGTCCTCTCAGTCTCCTCAGACTGCAGGGATCGCTCAGACACATGCTTTGGAACAGGAAGAGAACTAGGGTGTCATGTGGGAGAAAAAAAAAGAAAAAAGTCAATCATCGTCACGCACACCACTTGAAAATTCTTCAGCTAAAACTGAGCCATAAGCCCACCAATATAAGAACTTAAAGCAATCTGGGCAAACAAAAGAGAAGGAATGAGCATCTGCCCAATCATCACAGCTGTCCACCTTTACCACTGCTACAAAATAAGCAAGCACTACTGTGTTTCCCTGCTCCTTGAAGTAGAAACCCATGCCAAGTTACTTTCACAAGCACAGCAGCACATGGAGAAAAGGCCTTGAGGCATCCCTTCCACTGGCATCAAACAGGGAACAAGAACCAGATGCCAGCCCACAGGGAAAGCCCTCCAGGAGAAGTTCAGAGAGCCCTACCTATGTACAGAGAGGAATCTTTCCGCCTCACGTGGTCATCGATGTAGGAAACTCCCAGGGGCTGGACAGGGGTAGCACCAATGCCCAGGAGGACCTGTGCCCCGATGAGCAGCAAGTACATCATGTTGGTAGCAGTCCTATTCCTGCAGATAAGGTCCGGGTCTGGTCCCTCATCACTGGTGGACCCGTTGACAGCACACACATCCCTCCCTTCAGCTCCCCAGCGTATTTCTCCCGATTCGTATTCATACTGGTGGGTCAGAAATTCAGGCAACGCAGAAAGAAGGGCACCCAAGGCCATGACTATCCCTCCACATCCTATCAAGCGTGGCCGGTGTCCTCGGGCTCCAAAGTAGCTCACGAAGAGGATGAGGGCCAGGTTGCCAATCTCGAAGCTGCTGGCAATGACGCCCACGTCAGCGCTCTGCAGGTTGAATCGCCGCTCCAAGGTGGTTAAAACACTCACCTACAAAAGAGAAATCCAGAGAAAATTACATTCCATGCCTTCCATTCTCCCCATATGTACTGCTAAAATGCAAATCTCCTTGACTTTTTCCTGGAGCTGAAACCATACCCATCAAGGACATCCAAATCACAGTACAGTAGCAGAGCTCCAAGCATGACCTGACTGTTCAAATGCAGCCATGCCAGAAGGTCCTAATACCAAGTGACATTTCACAGCCTACCACCTGTCTGAGCACATGTCACTTCCGAATTCCTGTGCCCATCAGTGTGCATTTTGGATGCCTGCAGACACCCATGATTCCATGGTTCTGTCTTTGGGCTCCCTTTCTATTTGAAGGCACAACATTCACTGTCCCATGGAACCAAGGCACAAACCACACTGAGCTTCACATCCTGCCAGGCACCCAGCCTTTCCCTTGGAATGAACTGCACTTAGGATGCAGCAGAAAACCCTGCAGATTCTTTGCCTGCACACCAGCACAAGGCTATTGAGCCACTCAGAGACAGTGATGTACAAACAGGCAGTTTAGCTGGCACTGAATGCTTTTACTCAAGTATATAAATAAAATGCTGATCAAAGGGTTTAAACTGTTTGTGGATTAGTTAATGACTGGGATCGTCACAGAGTATTTTTGAGAAGACAGGCCAATTAAGGTTTATATAGAAGATTTAAATCCACCATGAAGAAGGGATGATTTAACAAATTGTGGGTATTTAACACTAGGAAGAGAGAAGCACATGAATAGTCTTCAAATATTTAACATTGCTGCAAAAAGGAATGACCTGTTCTTTGAATTCCAAATGGATGGGATAAGAAGTGACAAGTTTAAACTGCAGCAGAGATGATTCAGGTTAGATACAAAGTGGGAAGAAACCAGATTTTACTGGTAGGGATTGTGAGGCACTGAAATATGCTGCCTGGAAAGGCTGCAGAGGTCTTTATCAGAGCACAGACCAGCATCTGTCAGGAAAGACACAGGTATGACTGATCTTGCCATGGGGCAGGAAAATGAACAAGATCATCTCTTGAGAGCTCTTCCAATCTTGATTACATGGTGCAGTGAAACACAATGTGGATTTTCTGCAACAGTCAAGCACTGATCAGAGCATGAAGGATGAACCATTAAGTACCTCACTTGCTGTCAGGTCTGCTCAATGGAGAAAACAGAGTATTCTCACATCTATGGTAGTGTCCCTCTTCTACAGTAAAAAAGCAACAGAAGAAATCTTGAATGTGTCACAGAAATGCCAAAAACTTTTACCTTGAACAAAAAACTATCTAGTTTTTCAAAGTGTAAAAGATGAAAGTATTTAAGGTTGTCCTAAAAGACGCAGGTTTCTCTATTCCAAAAAAAAAAGTGATAAAGACCTCAGAGCAGAAGGTAGCCCCTGGATAGAATAAAAATAGCCTCCCACTGGAGGCACTGAAAATCTTTGCTGATAAACCTCACGAAGCAGGAGCCAGCCTGACCGACTTTAAAGTATTCTGACAGCAGTTCTTCTCCGGGGGCAGATTGCCTCTGCCAGGGTACACCAAGGCACAGTTGGACAAAGACAGCCCCATCGGCAACAAAATGGAAAACGGAAACAACCCACTTCTGCTGCTTTGCATAAGCAAAAGCTCCCAAACCTGACTGTGATAAGTGTCCAAGTCAGACGTCCAAAACTGGACTGTGTTAAGGTTTTCTGAAAATCCAGCCCTTTTCTCATACGGGCAGCTATCATTTTATACTACCACCAGTGTAATCCTCCCCAACTAAAGAGCTGAGGAGAAAGAAAACTAAAAATGAAATCCTATGAATAAAGGCAGTGCAAGAGCAGTAATTCTTCCCATGCCAAAGCCAGGTGTGCGTGTCAGAGGGAGAGGAGATCACCACCAGGTGCAGGTCCCTGTTGGGATGAAACAGCCCCGTGACTCACGAGGGACAACGGTGTCCTCTGTGAGAGGGGACAGCACAGCCTGTCCCTGCTCCAGTGGCCTTGGCCAGAAGGGCTGGAGCTCACATTCTAAGGGACACTGCTGCTCCCAGCCCTTTCTCTGTGGGAGCTGAGCAGGTGAGCACAGACACTGCTACAAAACATCCTGCTGGTGTTTCCAGAGCAAGGCATGCCAAGGAGGGGGGTACACACAACACCCCACAGCCACAGGCAGATCCAGCAGGCACCCGTGGGAGAGAGAACCATGGAATGGTTTGGATTGGAAAGGGCCTTAAAGACCATCTATAGTTCCAAATCTTTCGCCGTGGGTAAGGATTTATCATCCATGGTTTTATTGCAAGGTGTGGTCTAACAGGGCTGGCGCTGGGGTCCTGTGAACACCAATTCTGACAGACTGGGGAATCTCTCCAAGATCAATATATAGCTCTGAGCATGCAAAATTATGTCTGTGGTGCTCATTTCTGAGCTGTACCTAGATGGGAAACTCGTGATTACTCATTACAGCTGTGTAAACTGAGGTAGAGAGCCAACTATTAATGAGACAAGTACAGTCAACAAAATTAATTTCTGATGGAATAATTTAGGCTGGAAGATTGAAAGCCAACAGAAGTGATTTCCCAAGGCCAACTGGTATTAACTAGTTTTGGAAGTCACCCACATTTCGACCTGGCTACCACATTTTAGGCTTTTATCATACATATATACAAGTGGCTAGAAAGTAGGATGGTGTTTAGACACGTGTGGGTGCCAGATCTCAAAAGGGTCAGACTTTGGACAGCTGGATTTCAGATACAGAAAAGTGCACTGTTTCCAGGTGCAGTTCACAGTGACAGAGACAGTAAATTGGTGACAAACCAGAGAACTAAAACCAGAGTCCCAATTCTCATTCCACTCATTTCTGTGGGATTTCAGCCATTCTTTTCCTTTTTACAAACATGAACCTAGTCAACAGTAGGGAAAAAGAGTCTCACCATCCCCTAATACTTTCCTGCTTTACTTTGGGGAAAAGACTGAAACAAAAGCAGGAGGAAGACAACGATACAGGGCAAATTCCAACTGTCTTGATAAAAGCTGGCAGTTCTTCTTATTCCTCTGGCCAGACCACACAGCATTTCCCAGTCTGCTCCTTCTGACAGCAGCACTGCTACCCAGTGCTACCAGCTCTGCCTTTGCTAAGTGGGTTATGAGGAGCAGGGGGTATGGTGAAAGAGCAAATCCATCACAGCAGCCTTGAGCATCCAGAAGAAAACAGCATCCAAGTACAAAATGCTGAGACCAGCATCAGCAGAGTAGCCTCCAAAACTGACAGCCACGGTGAGGGGAAAAAAAAAAACCAACAACAAAATAAAAATAGGGCTGGGAAATAAACTGTCAACATGCAGATTCTTAGCCAGAGAACAACAGGAACCCAACTGCATTTTATCCAGGGTGGCTGCAGCCTGGACAGCACAGCCCAAACTCTTACTGTGACATTGGCTGTGACCTTAGAAAGACCAACTATAACATCAGCAATAGCATAGCACAGATGTTACCTGCATTTATGCAAAATAAACCCCTGCACATGGCTAAAATAGTCTCCCCACCCTCCATGCTCCACTTTTATGGGACTTTAGTCAGGTTTAACCTGACTAAACTTGTTGTTTCTATGTGGGATGTTTCCAGTGTCCTTGTTACTGTGGGATAAAAACACTGTATTGCCCATATTTCCTTTCACAATCCTGTTCCCCAGCAGACCAGCCATCACCACTCCCAGACACTAACTCTGTTTATCCAGAGTTACATAAAATGTAAAAAACACCACAGGTCCCTGTAAAATACTGATGTCATGTGGAAAGGCTGTGAGGATTATAAAAAGTCCCTGTGTGCTGATGCCAGGTCAATCACTCCAGAGCACAGCCCACGTGGATGCTGTTCAAGAGCAGGGATGTGGGCCTTGGGATGGTGCAGCCTCACAGCAGCTTCAGATGGACAACCTCCTGCTAAAACACAGCAGGGAAACACCAGGAGCCCACAGCTGTGAGGCTGCTTCTTCCTGACTCCTGTCAACTTGCACAGCTGTTTAGTCAGGGAGGGGAAGAATCGGCTAAGAGGGTATTTAGTTAAAAAAAGCTTCAAGATCAAAACCATTACCAGGAAGCAAAGGCAGCACCCAGCAAAACTCATGGAGACAAGATAGAGCAGATCCCAAGGAGTCACTGGTGTGAAACCACCCACAGGACCAGACAGGTCCAGAGCAGGCACAAGGACAGAGGCAGGGCCAGTGCTCTATCCATGGCAAACGCCAGCACCCAGGAAAATGGGAACAGCACTGAAACCACAGCTTCCCATGGCAGTGTGCCTGCCTGCCACCCTTATGTGCTCACATCTGTCCCTTAGCAGGTCACTGGGGCTCTGACCAGCCAGTCCTTTAACTGCAGCACTGGACTCAGCCTTCTCTTTTTGCTGCCTCTTGCATGACTCCCATTTCTCCCACCCCAGACATCTCCTACTCAGTTTTTGACACAGCCCCACTAAGATGCAGCTCTTAGATAGATCAGCTGTGTGGCTGCTGTTACTCCACAGGTTCCTGCTGCTCCAGACTGGATCCCTACCAAAAACAGCCAACTACACCAGTTTGGCACCTGCACACCCTGCTCATGCAGAAAACAGGCTGGACATCTAGAAAAGAATACGTAACCCAGCCTTCTGGCTTTCTGTGAACACACTGCAACATACAAGAACTAGAAGTGATTAAAACTTGCAGCATGCTTGCACTGTCTCCTCCTCTGAGCCACGGCAGGCTGCACACACACATTTGGATCAGATGACTGACATCAAACAGGCCTGGGCTAAAGGGGCCTCCTAACACCACTCTAAAACACTCCTCAATGATTGAAAAAGGAAAATGTCTCACGTAACGCACACAGTGATAAATGACCCACATTGAAAAAAAAAAATCAATCACCACCTTAAAATTTTTCAGCCAAAGCAATTTGTATTGCAACTTTTGTAACTAAATCTACGGAAGCTTATGCCATGCCATTCTGGACTTATTTCAATAATACATGCTCACATTCATCATTC